TCCCTGGGTGTTCGTACTAAAGAGGTTTTCACCCTCACTATAGAGCTCCTTGGCATAATAATTATAATGTTCAACTGAGGCCTCGGTCATCTCCTTCTCTCGGATGGTCCGCTTCGTCATCTGGCCTTGCTTCGTTTTCTGGTACACTGACCAAAGCTACGTGAGCGCCTTTTCGAGGTTGTCAGTGAAATTATTGGGCAACATCTCGAAAACCAGCAACAGCAGGCAACAGGAGTCAGGAGTGTCCGGAAATAGTACACTGAAAGCAAAGCACTGACTCTGTACGTACACATCAACGGGCCTTGACATGATGAGCGCATCCTTGCCACGCACCGCTCGCGTGTGATCGAAGAAATCTCCGTAGTAGTGGTCGGCATAGTTACGGTAGCTGACGTGACCAGAGTGGCCGCGTGCGTCGACCACTTCCAGGATGTATGGGTCGGTGCCGTCGCATTTCCAGCCGTCAATGCCGGTTGATAGAGCCTGTACGCATGCATGCACGGGACACAAACAGCAAATGCCAGTTCAACCATAAGCTAGCGGATATCTTACAGCAATGCTATATCCACATTCATTGTCAGTGGGGACCTCATATTCACGAATGAAGGTGGTATATTCAGCAATCAGAATACAGTTCATGTCCAGTCAAACAACTTCGCTAATAACGGCTGCGGATACTGTAAGACATGTTATTATAACGAGTCGCAAATTTAACGATTGTCCAAAATTCAGAGGTTAACGAGAAGATATGTTAACGACCTTGCAGTATTCTGGCATATCCATACACACCATATATGAAGCAGTACGGCCTCAACGGCTCTTATTATAACAAAGAAATGTCATCCGTTAATACGTTAGATTTACTTCCTCGTTATATATACATGTCTTACAGTATAACGACAATTCGCGAATAACGACAGAATTTCCATGCCCAGAGCAAAGTCCCATCCAACTGTAATACATATAATGAGACTTCGGGTATAGCGACACTTCGCGAATAAGGGCACTTTTCTGATGCCCCGCCGAGGGTCGTTATACGCGAAGTTGACTGAACTTCCTTTCTAGTAAACACAGAACAACAAGGGCAAGCAAGGTTAGTTTCCTGCTACTCTGAGTTTCATGCTTGTGTAATCATCAGGCGATATTTTAACGAAAAGTAGTAGCAACCGTCATGAATTCCCCCCGGGAACAGAGATGATAACGTGTACGCCTAAAGTGAGTAACAGCTACAGTAAAACCTGGTTTAAGCGACCACCCCACGGTGCCACGGTGCCACGGTGCAAGCAAAAGGCGGTCGTTAAAGCCAGGTGGTCTTTAGAACCAGATCCCACAGTGTCTGTGTAGAACTGTTGGTGCATGGAAAAACGGTCGTTAAGAGCAAAAAAAAAAAAAAAAAATTACCAGGGAGTGTTTACTACAATAATATCAGAATTTCGTGTTAGCAGACATTTTATTCAGTTTAAAAAAAAGTACACATATTCCAGTCTGAAATTTCTTTTGTGTACTGAGCCCATACCTCGTCTTCTGCATGTATTGTTATACCCATGCGTTGCACTGAACATGAACTATTAGTGAGTACAGAATATTGATATGACAAACTTTCCCTTACTGTTTTCTGATGATCGCTTAGTGCGTGAAACTCGGAGTAAAAACACTTTCTCTGTCCTCCTATTGCTTGACAAACTTTCCCCGTTAGAAGAACTACTGTTCTTGAACAAATACTATATAAGATCCCTTGGAGTTCATCCTAAAGAGGCTTGACAGTACTAGCGAGTACTTCAAGTACCTATTAGGAAGTACATGTACTTGAAGCACTGTAAGTCAACAAATATTTGGCGCATACCGTGATGTATATTCGGCGCATACCGTGATGTATATTCGGCGCATACCGTGATGTATATTCGGCGCATACCGTGATGTATATTCGGCGCATACCGCGATGTATATTCGGCGCATACCGTGATGTATATTCGGCGCATACCGCGATGTATATTCGGCGCATACCGTGATGTATATTCGGCGCATACCGTGATGTATATTCGGCGCATACCGTGATGTATATTCGGCGCATACCGCGATGTATATTCGGCGCATACCGTGATGTATATTCGGCGCATACCGTGATGTATATTCGGCGCATACCGTGATGTATATTCGGCGCATACCGTGATGTATATTCGGCGCATACCGTGATGTATATTCGGCGCATACCGTGATGTATATTCGGCGCATACCGTGATGTATATTCGGCGCATACCGTGATGTATATTCGGCGCATACCGTGATGTATATTCGGCCTGGGCATTTTTGGCCTAAAATTTGTTGCAGCCGAAATTTTGTTTTGCAAGATTTAGTGTTACAGTGCATACAGGCAGCAGTATACTAGTAGTACAGGCTGAAATGTAAATGCGGCCGAAATGGCGCTTAGCCCTGGGAGGCCGACATTTAAACGCGCCGACAATTTGTAGACGTATGGTAGGTTTATGCACGTACCTTATCCATTTGTTCATGCCACCACTTGACGGCGTCCGGGTTGCTGTAATCCAGTAGGCTCCCACGGCCATGCCACCAGCTCATCAGTGCAGACTTGCCCAACAGGTCTCTGCAACACGACAGGCAGGGCAGGGCAGGGCAGGGCAGCAGCACCAACAGCAACACAACACACGGAAACACGCAAAGTCAAACGCCCTGACGTTGCTGACACCACTGTGATAATGGAGATACATTCATCACATCACTGTTGAGGGAATTGAAAAGGGAAAAGTCTGAAAAAATTGACTAAGAAAGACAGTAAGCTGTTATCCCTAAAACTGGTACCCATGCCGTTGGAACCACTGAGAAAATGGAGACATATTCATTAGTTGAGGGAGTTGAAAAAGGAAAAGTTTGAATATAGAATTGACTAAGTAAGGGAGATGGTAAGCTGTTATCCCGGAGAGCTAGTCCCCCTGCCGCTGGAATCACTCTGACCAAGGCAGACAGTAAGCCTGTATTAGGCATTAGTGGATAATGCTCGAAAAAGTGGCAGATTCTGCTCGAAAAGCAGTGAAATTGGCAGAACCATACAAACCTTATGGTGGGCAATTCCTCGAATTCTGCTCCATTTCTTTATCCACATACCAAACATGCATGAAACTTACCAGAAAAAGTACCGAATTCTGCCAATTTTTCTGCCGGCATTATCCGCAAAGGCCTAGCCTGTACTCCCGGAGGACCAGTGACACCAGCACAAGGAGGTAATCGTGAGTAGCAGAGGGGACGGTCTTGGAAGGTGGTTGCTCATATTCGGTCACTGTCAGCCATCTGAACTACATGTACATGTACAAATTACTTGGCCTGGCGGGGGGGGGGGGGCTGCGCTGATAAAAGATGAGTGCCCCAATTTAGGATTTTATTGATTGGCGGTGTATCTGGGACAGAGTGATACGATCGACACCGTAGTGATCTTAGCATGTCCAACACCCCTGCACGGTAGTCATAATCAGGGAGTAGTAAAAACACTACTCCTTGGTTATGACAATATTGTACTAATATCTAATAAGGATACCATTTGGTGCACGAGGACCGAGTTTTGGTCATCCTTGCAGCTCCCCGTCTCAGACAGAGCCCATGACATTAGTACAGTATTGCACAATAGAAATCTAGCAAACCGGGCCGTGCATGCCGGCTACTGATGCCAGAGGCGGCAGTGACTGTGGTGGGTAACCAACCGCCTGAGCCGGGGCAAACTCACACACACATACTTGATGAAGTAGCCATGCTTGTCACCGTCCTGGTAGTTATCAGAGTCCACGTCCACCATAGACGTAATCCAGAAGATCACACGGACGTCCTCTCCATGGAAATGCTCAACCTGTGCAGACAGGCGGCGAGGAGTCAAACAAAGCATTGGTTAGGCCAGGTTAGTGCATGTACATGTACACCAAGTGGTCTGGGGGGAGGGACAACAGGAGTAGGGCAATACAGCATTCTCCTATTCTAACTACCCCCCCCCCCCCCCCCCCAATGGGAAGGAGGTCGATTGTCCGGAGGGAAAAGGCCCGACCGCTGGATGGGGGGGGGCAACAGGAGTAGGGCAATGCAGCATCCTCCTATTCCAACTAACCCCCCCCCCCCAAATGGGAAGGAGGTCGATTGTCCGGATGGAAAAGGCCCGACCGCTGGATGGGGGGGGGGGGGAGGGGGAGGGACAACAGGAGTAGGGCAATACAGCATCCTCCTATTCTAACTACCCCCCCCCCCCAAATGGGAAGGAGGTCGATTGTCCGGAGGGAAAAGGCCCGACGGCTGGATGGGGGGGGGGGGACAACAGGAGTAGGGCAATGCAGCATCCTCCTATTCTAACTACCCCCCCCCAAAATGGGAAGGAGGTTGATTGTCCGGAGGGAAAAGGCCCAACCGCTGGATGGGGGGGGGGGGAGGCCGTAGGCCCCGGCGGATAATGCTCGGGAATTAGGCCCATTCTGCTTTTCATTATGCTCGCATTCTGCTCGCAAAACACCCACATTCTGCTCAATTCTGCTCCATGTCAGTGATGACATGTACATTAGAGTATTACTTGAACTTCATTATAGATCAATGTAATACAATAGACAAGTTCCTCTTTTCTTGTACAAGTGGTGCGGCAAGAATTTTAAAGCAGAGGAATGCCTTTGGTGTTTTACAGAACTAGAAGTCAGCAAAGTAGGAAATAGACCTGCGAGGTGTGTGACTCCATACACTTGCTGTAGCACAGGTGGTCATTATGCAAAATCATGAGACAGAAAAGATTACAGTCACCTTAGAATGAAATTGGAAAAGATCAGGGCATTGTATGTGTGTTGGGTGGAAGCCAGAGAATGCCCAGGGTTTCATGCATTACACATTCAAAGAAATACATATTGACAAAAGTTACAGGTTGTTGTGTACTGCACATGGAACAAGTCAGTGATTGTAACATGGTTCATACTTTGGGTCTGGATAACGCGGAGTATGGAATATAACAGTTCATACCTGACAGGTTCATATGTTGGGACTGGATAACGCTGAGTATGGAATATAATAGTTCATACCTGGCAGGTGAAACAAGTTCATGCATTGGGACTGGATTATGCCGGGCATGGAAAACTTCACATCAGTTCCCTTGCCAGATAGTGGGATTTACTCCATGGCCAGGCGACCCCGATTGTATTGCAGCATAAGTGACGCCTCCAGATGATCTCCCAGTAAACTCGTCTGCTGTGAGTTGAAAGAAGCTTGTACAAGCGAGAACACTCTCTCTGCTGGGGCAGAGGATGGAAGCAATGCAAAGACAATCTTTGCTGCCAGCTGCCATGCTGGAAGGTGGGTTTGCTGTGCCCACCATTTCAAACGCGGGGCATCTTCACTGATCACTGCGTCCACAGCCGCAACAGCGTATGCAGGAAGCTCTTCTGTCAGCTGCGCTATGATTTCATCGGAGTCGAGAGCAGAAACAACACGTAGGGCTGCTACATCGTCCACTTGCAGGTCGAGCCCTCTCGCTATCTGTGGGCAGAGAATGCGCACGGCTTTGAAGAGCTGCACTTCCTTGAACATTGGCGTGTCTTGTTTGTTGAACTTGGTTCTGAAATACTGGACAGCAGGTGCAACACAGGCCTAAGCAAGGGTTAGCAATGCTTGCTTCCCCACTGCGTTCTGCCCAGCAAGCTCTGCAGCGACTGCAGCTGTTTCCAGGTAATTCTGTAAGGCCATAGCGGTGCAAATCTCTTGCAGGTGACCATAAGCCTGGACGATGAGCTCACCATCACCCTCCAAGAGGTAGGTCTTCTTGACGAAGAAGCTTCCCAACGTCAACAGTGATGGCCAATTGCAGACGGAGCACTTTGAGTTGCTCGGGATCATCAAGGATTCTGCGGGCATTGGCAGAAGTGGTTGGGCTGCTTTCCAGGGGGTGCAGGAATGGAATGACGTGCTCAAAGCATCGATGCAGTTGATGAAGCACCTCCCACCAGCTCCACCACCGTGTGCACGAGTATGTCTTGATGCTCTCTTTGGTTAGCGTCTTCCATTGAATTCTGGATGCAGGGCTGTGTGAAAACAGGTACACCCACAAGCGTAGGAAGGAGTCCAGGAGATCTGTGTCAAAATGCCGGCCAATGTTGTCCAGAGAATGAGCCACACAGACGAGATCGGATATGTTCGGGTACACGAAGTCGGTGAGATACCCAACTGCTGCCCTGTTGACCGAAGCGCCATCCCAGATGGTGGAAATCACCCTTGCCAGTGGGTATTGGAGCTCTGTCGAGAGGGTAGCGATGAATTCCCTGGCAAGTTGCTTGCCCATCATGTTCTTCGCCAGGACATGCACGCGGACGAGGCGCTGGCAGATCTGGAAGTTCTCGTTTATATAGCGTAGAAGGATTACCAACATTTCGCCTTGGTACTTGCTCCCATCAAATATAATGCTTATGTAAGGCTTCTCCTTCAGCTCATCCTTTAGCGTGGCCTGCTCGTTCTCCAGTATGAATGGTACATATGAGGCGAGATGAGTGGAGTAGGTCAAGCGGTCCGAATCTTCCTCCAGCAGTGGGCGGAGGATGTCTACTTTGGCAAGTGGGATGCCAGCCTTCATCATTGCCGTTGTCGTTTCAATCCTCCGCATTCTTTGCTGAGCTGGCACGGCAGCAGTCAACCCAGTCCCTGCAAGGTCGTGGCGCTTTACGTATGCCTCCCAACTCTGGGCAAGACGCTGCTGTCGAATACCCTGTTGCCGTTGCCTTTCTTTTCCTGCCTCGTGTTTATCACTACCGACATGATCCTTCACAATGCTCTTCTTCAGGGCAAGTGTACTCTTGCAGGCTTCGCAGTATAATTTACCGGATGAGACGACGAGCATCTCGTCTGGGAATTCCTCCACTCGCTGGTGTGGGCTAACATTCATTTGTGCTACCGCCTAGCGACACCCGGGTTCTCTTTGCCCCTGAGGCAACCACATCCTTTTTTTGCGGACGTCCGTTTCATAGACCTTACACGGGAGATTTCAGCTTCCTCCGCTATGTCCAGGCTTTGCCACTCTTCGCCAGACTGGCCTTCCGTGTCCACTGGTGTATCATCTTCGTCGTCAAGAATATCAACAATTATAAGATCTTCTTCGGCGGAATCGAAGTCGGCTGATCTGTCACGTACATCACCGAATTCCGCCATTGCCGCACACAGAGCATATCAGGGTCGCAGGTCAAGACACTAAATTACCAGCCCACAATTCAACATCCAGGCAATGGTAATGAACTAAAGTACAACAAAAAGTAAAACATTAATATCCCTTTACAGTAGAACATCGATTATCCCGCGATCCGGCCTTTCCATTTCTGAAGGCACCAGCCCAAATTTGGGCTAAAATGGCATGTAACGATTCACAAGGTGTTGCAAAACACCTCTATAGAGCTTATGCATACCCGTCACGTGGTCATGAACAACGACCAAAAATGTCCAAGTACAGTGAGTCTAAGCTGAAGCGAATCTTCGAACGTCCAGGGAGCCATACACGAGACCGTCCTGATTACCAAGGACTCCCAAATAGGCACCAAAACTGCAAAAGGTCCGTTACGGATACCGAATTCGAAGCTGAGTGGCATGACGTCACGTCGACGTGCATAAGCTCTGCGTACTGAGAACGACAGTGCTCCGTTCTGCTCGTCTAGTGCTCGGTTCTGCTCGTCTCATGCTCCGTTCTGCTCGTCTGGTGCTCCGTCTGCTCGTCTGGTGCTCCGTTCTGCCCGCCAATTGCCTCATTCTGCCGCATTCTGCTCCGATTTTGAAACCCCTGATTCTGCTCGAAATTCTGCCGGCATTATCCGCCGGGGCCTAGGGGAGGGACAACAGGAGTAGGGCAATGCAGCATCCTCCTATTCTAACTACCCCCTCCCCCGAATGGGAAGGAGGTCGAGTGTCCGGAGGGGAAGGCCCGACTGCTGGAGGGGGGCACGGTGGAGGTGTCCTCTACCCTGTTTGCCTTGAATCCTGATGGAGGGAGGGGGGGGGGGGTGTCCTCCTACCCTGTGTTTGCCTTGAATCCTGATGTTGCGTGTAGTTTGTCTTTCCAAGTGGTTTGTCTGTTTCAGCCCAAAGCACCCCTCCCTTGGTGTCCCAATCCTGTGCGCTGGTGATTGTTCTCTTCCTTACCATGCCAGTGACGTTTGGATACTTTGAGTTGAACTTGAAGTTGTTGAAGCCGGTCTCCCAGCGAGAGTCCATGTTCACCGCGCCGACGCGAATCGAACGGTTGCGGTACTCGGCCGCGTACTCGGTCATGGCCGCCTGGGACGCGCGGTCGTTGGACAGCCACACCCAGTGGTAGTGAGCCCACTCTGCGTACGGGGCGCTGCCCACGCCGGTCGCCGTGCCGATAGGAAACCGCAGCAGGCTTTCTGGTGGTGGAGGCGGGGTGGTGGAATCGTCGTTGAACAGCTCGTTCAGAAGATCAGCATCGTGATGGTCTGCGGTGCATGCAAGAATCAGAGCAAAGCACAGACAAATGTAGCGAAGTCGGATGCGTGCTAGCAAGAGTATAATATATATAACCCCCAAGAGCTATGGGGTCTGCGACGGCAGAACTTCACATCACATGCCGAATCCGTACACATTATTTGCACCTTGTGCATGGCAGATGCAGGGTTCAACTCTCTTGTGGTTACTTCGCACTGTTTGCCAGCGTAACCTGTTGAACCATGTCACATGATGTGAATTTCTGCCTTCGCAGCACTGTACAGAGACTGTGCAGGCAGCTGCACACTCTCGGGGGTTCTGTACTCTCGATGCTAGCGATAGTGTTGAGCACTCACGACAAGCAGTCTAGCTAGCCTGCATGGGTTTGAGCACACTGCACTAGCGCGTGGCAGATAATGCTCGAAATATCGATTGATTCCGCTCGAAAAGCACTGAAGTTGGCAGAACCATACAAACCTTATGGCAGGCACTTCCTTGAATTCCGCTCCACGTCTTTATCCACATACCAAACATGCATGAAACCTATCAGAAAAAGAATACTAAATTCGGTCAAATGTCTCTGCCGGCATAATCCGCCAAGAGCTCTGCTGGACCCCGGTGTGGAACTGCGACCACAGTAGCACTGCTTCTGAACTCCATGTCTCGGAACCGCGATTAAAACAATAGCCATGACCAGCTCTATTTCTCTGCAGATAAACCAACAGGATTAAGCAAGGTGCTCTACTGTCCAAAGAGTGCTCAGTGCCCGTATCAGGCAGAGCTACACGTACATTCAGTCGCAAGGCCGGGAGCGAGGTAAGAAGGGTGAACCAATAGCGCAAGCTTCAGGAGCAGGCCGTACATTGATAAGGCCTGGGAGACTTGTAGTAGTAGCAGCAGCAGCACTAACTAGTACTTGAAATGGTATAAATGTATACGGCTCCCTCGACAAGAGATCGGAGCTCATCTCTAAGTGTCGTATGATGAGAACTGGACAAGTTCTACCTTTGTAACTAAGTATTTGTCCGACAGCTCACGCGAATGTTGTGTTGTTGTTGCTAGTTACGCCATCTACAATGTATCTTTTCATTCTTTTGTTTGCTTGTTTCTTCTGCCTGTGCTTTTATTTTAGCACTTTAGCGGGTCCAGCGTTAAATTTCGTCATTCACATTTATACCAGCTTGGTGCAGTACAGTTTACGCCGCTTTCGTTCATAAAATTGATAATCATGGCGAGGATTTGGTGAGACTGACTGGGATTGTAGTACTGTACAGCATGTGCTGTTCAGCGGCACATGCCTACCCTGTACCCGACTCGCACTTACGGAAATAGTCCGACGCGGCCACAGAGCTCAGTGGCCCGCCTTGCGCTGCCTGGGAAGGCCATATCATGTGGAGGGTCACAACTACAATTAGCAGCACACTTGTCCTCCGTTGTAGCAGAGTCCACATCTTAACTTTAGCAATCTCGTCCCCCTCATTCGATGCTCCTCGCTCGATGCTTCGACAGGCGACGACAGCAGTTTGATTCTCCCCCACCTCGATTCATTCAACGAACTGTACTGATTGTCATGTAATACCGGTACGAAAGAAGAGCAGCGCGCTGATATAAACTAAACACTGGAGCTCGTATATCGGTCTTTGACGCCGACGTCTCGACCTAGCTAGTGTAGACTTTGACCTCCAGATCATGAATTAATTATTTTGAGTTTGTGAAGTCTGGTTGATCGGAATGATCGTGAAAATTTCCAAGTACATCCACAGTAAAACCTGTCACGGCGACCACTCGGATAAGGCAACCACCTGTCCTAGAAGACCACTGAAACCAGGACCAAGGCAAGGGATGCTTTTTTCCAGTCAAATGACCCTGTATAACTTATGACCACCTGGCAACAGAGACCACGTTTTGAAGGTCCCATGGCATGAGCGGCCGTCTGTTCCACTGTAGTTTGTTGCAGTTCCGTATGTGACTGCCTCTACTAGGCTCTAGCTCTCTTTCCCGACGGCAAGAGTACTAACAATGGCATGTACATGAAACCCCTTTCTTTTCCGGCAAAAGTCCCATACTAGAAGGGAGTCGTAAAATACGACTCCCTGCACACAAATAAATCGGGATTGAGCGGTTGGAAAGGACTACAAAAAAAGTGTAGACTGCATGCTTTGTACTGCATGTTTGTAGATTCTACCGGGTTTAGGCAGGGAGACGAGAGTTTTCCAACACAGTTCGTGTTTGAACTGTGACTGTGAGTCGGGAGTTCCCCAGCTGGCATTCTGCGTGCACAGGCCTGTTGCAGTGGAGTGTTCTCCGCGATCGTCGTGTTACCTGTCGTGTACAAAAATGTGGTCATCTGCATGTGCCTGCGGTTCCCGTGTACATCATGTATGCAATCATGTTTGTGCCATACAGTTTTTATTCTAATCTAGAGTTGTGGACGAGCATGCAATGAATGAAAATCTGTGTTGTGCAACTGGTGAACTGGTCTTCTTGCAGCTGGCTGCCACAGGGTAGGTAGAGGTTGCCGGGGCGAACGTCTTCCGTTTTTCGGCTGTTTAGAACTTGAAGCTGGGTCACACTGCGTTCGATGCAGCACTAGCACTGACGGCATAATTTTTTTGAATTGCAAATTATTTCAACACAGCAGTCCAGCTTGCTTTGAACACCGTCCAGCAGTCCAGGTGTGTGTGTGTGTTGTAGAGAGAGAGAGAGAGAGAGAGAGAGAGAGGGGGAGAGAGAGAGAGCAGCAGCAGCTAGCTGCTGCTTGCACCCATGTAGGCTGAGCACGATGTAGTAGAGTCGTCTTCTTGTCATCACCTGGCAACTGTTTTGCATACTCTGTCAGTAAGTGTAAGGCCGAGACTCAGAACATTTTCTATGTTCTCAGCTCGGTGAATTTGAAAATTTCCTGCTTCGATAGGTGTTCGGCTTCCTGGCTGGAAGAGCCAGCTTAGCTAGCACTGTTATGATAGTTTCTGATCGCCTGGAACGTGGATACGAAGCTTCCTGCTATCGTGCTGGCGTGTTTGCTGTTGAGGAAGGGAGTTTGTGACGAATGCCACACACGACGTTGCAGTTGCACCGTGTTTCTCTTGCTGAGACCCGTGCCAAGAGTGTGGCCCGCATCGCCGTATGTCTAGTCTGTAGGACTTGGCAGAGTGTGTACTACACTGCAGTAGTAGTAACTGCAAGCGTGGATGAGCTGTGACTGGATGCAGTCGCTGTGTGTGGACTAGTGGAGCAGTTGTGATTGGCCAGTGCGTACACCTGACTGTGTGGACGGTGCTGCAGCAATGTACTCTCCGCACGGTCTCCCAGCAGCAGCACGGCCAGTGTCGGGCAGCAGCGACGAGAATGGGTTTGCGGGGGACGAGTCAGCGGAGGTGTACGACGCGTACAGCGACCCGGCCACCGTACTGCTGAGCGACTCCCAGCACCGGCGCATCGTGCAGTGGACCAACTCCCTACAGCAGCCGCAGGCGGTGGGAAGTGGCGACGTATCGCATCCACCGGCCGTGTCGTCGTCGTCGACGGACTGGGACGGTCGCAGCGACAGCAGCGGCGCCATGCTGCTGGATGCGCTGCAAGAGCTGGACAGCGTGCAACTCGCACAGCTCTACCTCCGCGCAAGCGAGGCGGCGGAGCAAGCCGAGGCGCACGCGTCCTCCGTCGTGGCTCACCAGGACGGCGGTGCCGAGCATCACCACCATGACACCAGTGGCGGTGGTGGGGAGCTTAGCAACAGTGCGAATATTTCCAGTGCCGAGCTGGCCGATCGCATAGCCGAGCACCTGCGGCGACGCGACAAGGAGCTGGAGCTGGCGGCGCGCGCCGGCCAGGAGCTTCTGCAGCGCAACGCAATGCTGGCGCAGGACCTGTCAATGACCGCGGCGGAGCGGGACGCCCTGGAGCAGCAGTCGGCGCAGCTGCGCCACGACATCGCCGGCAAAGAGCAGCTGCTACGCATGTACATGATGGAGCTGAACGAAATCCAGGACTCCATCGAAAACTCGCCAGCGCCAGTGCAGCAAGCACGACGTCATCGCGTTACATCACCACCGCCGCCTCTGCAGGCGATCGTGTCCGGCACTGAGCTGAGTGTGGGTAATAGCGATGACCCGCAGCTGGCACAGCACATCAAGGACATGCAGCAGCAGGCACGCGAGATGGAGGAGCGGGAGCGAGAGCTCATCGCCGAGTGCGTGAGACAGGTCAGTTCAGTTTGGAGAGAGAGAGAGAGAGAGAGAGAGAGAGAGAGAGAGAGAGAGAGAGAGAGAGAGAGAGAGAGAGAGAGAAAGAGAGATCGTCAACCTCTCTTCCTCTTGTCTCTCTCCTCTCTCTGTCTCGCTGTCTCAGTCTCTCTGTCTCTGTCTCTCTTTCTCTCTCTCTCTCTCTCTCTCTCTCTCTCTCTCTCTCTCTCTCTCTCTCTCTCTCTCTCTCTCTCTCTCTCTCTCTCTCTCTCTCTCTCTCTCTCTCCTCTCTCTCTCTCTCTCTCTCTCTCTCTCTCTCTCTCTCTCTCTCTCTCTCTCTCTCTCTCTCTCTCTCTCTCTCTCTCTCTCTCTTGTACTGTCGTGGACGTGGAAATCCGGTCGTACGTCTAGCTACCCCAGGGCGCTGGCCATGCAGCCGTGGATAAGCGGTACACATATGCGTTTATCCACTGCAGCGCGCTGGTCGCACCGGGTCAACATGTGCACTGCACGCAGCGTTCTGTACGAGCTGAGGTCGCCGGCCCCGGTCAATCAACTGGATTTTCATGTCCCGCTACAGTACTATTTTCCTAGTTTGTGATTGAAAATTCTGCTCTCAATAATGTTTTGTTTTGTCATCAGTTGCCTTCAGCCATGAATTCCAACATGAGCTGTAAAGTGAATTAGATCTGCCCTCCCTTGCTTGCCTGTGCCTAGCCTAGGTAAAGTGCAAGCTGACTTACATCTACTGTAAACTGGCGGATGTTTGGTAATTTTGCGAGGAGAGCAGAACGCAAATATTAACAATCGTGACATCGAGCTTCAACAGTGGGTGTGTATGTGTGGCCACAGTGCTCCGCGACCGTTTGCCATCGTAAACTCGCCGGTTCTCGGAGGTCGCAAACATTTAGTGACGCGAATATTACCCGAAGGTTGTACCCAGAGTACTGACAGTTCTCAACACCACAAAGGCAGAGCGTAATACACAACAGAACAACAAGGACAATCCAGGCTTGTTTGCTGCTACTTCAAGTTTCATGCTCACGCGATCATCAGCAGCAAACAAGCCTTGATTGTCCTTGTTGTTCTGTTGTGATGTGAATAATATGTAGTTTACAGTACTGTCCTTTACTTGTGTGCGCCACACGCAGGTGAACTGCAAGGTGGGTTAGATCTAACCTCCCTTACTTCCAACCTGTCTGTGCCTCGTGCAGGTAAAGGACACGGCGGACGACGTACGGGTGCTTCACGCCAAGACGTCTGAACGCGAGATGCTGGCCTCGGAGCACGCGTCCGAGCTGGCCAGACTGCGCGAGCAGAACGCGCGTCTCGAGGAGTCTCACAAGGAGCTCATCATGGAGAAGCAGGACCTGCAGGGTGTGCTGTGCGACACGCGCTCCAAGCAAGATCAGCTAGCGTCACAGGTAGGCTGCGAGTCCAATGCCCGTTTGTGTATCTGGTAGTGGTGATGCTGGTGCTGCTGGTGGTGCTGCTGGTGTTGGTGGCGTGCGAGTTGTAGGCGGTGCTGGTGCTAGTGCTGGTGGTGCTGCTGGTGGTGGTGGTACTGGTGCTGGTGGCGTACGAGTTGTAGGTGATGCTGGTGCTGGTGCTAGTGCTGATGGGGGGGGGGGGAGGAGGACAGCGCCGTGAATTAGAGCTGATACTGATCGCCTTGTATGTTTGTAAGCAATGGACACTTCTGTGTGTGTGTGCGTGCGCGTGCGTGCATGCGTGTGCCTGCTGGTGTATCATGCGTACTTTTTTCCCTTCGTCGTTGTCATGTCACTGTTGCTGTTCTTGCCATGCTGTTGTTCCCAGGTGAGCGACCTACAGTCGCAGTACATTGAGTGCGTCAGCCTGTTTCGCGAGGCCTCCAAGGAGCTATCCATGTACCGTCGCCATGGCAGCTATGGTCGCCTGCACGAGCTGGCCTGCCCCGAGGAGGGAGAGCCGCCACCACCGTCGGCACAGCAGCAGAGCCGGAGAGTGCGTGAAGATGACAGCGGCGGAGCAGCGGCCCACACCAGCGGGGAGTCTACACCGCCGGCGGTCAGTCTGTCACAGGAGATCAAGACGGCGACGCGGCATGCGGTCGCCGACCACACCAAGTCGGACACGGTTACGTCGTCAACATCCGAATCATCGTCGGCAACAATGCTCCAGCAGGAGAGTGGTGGTGTGGTGGCTGAAGACTCACGTGTCCAAGACCACGTTACACCAACTGGGACTGCTAGCGCAAGTAAAGACGTGCCGGAACGATCGTCTTCGGCTGAGTGTGGCGTTTCCAAATTGGTCGCCGGCGGTGCTTCTAGCCAGCAATGTTTGCAACAGCAAGTCGTTGACTCCACACAGAATGTGAAGCCAGCTCGAG